GGAAAGAGAAGAAATATGGACAGAAGTTGTAGAAACCAGGTTGCCTATATGCTGGGGGGCACTGCATGTGCCAGGAGTTAACCTGCTCCATCCCTCTCCCCTCTCACCTCCCTCTCCTCTCCGTTCAGCTCCTGTCTCACTTTCCTCCTCCTCTCCCCGTGCCAAAGGTTCTGGTCACTGTTTCATGTACCCTCTGTTTGTCATTCATTTCTCCACCACAAGCTTTGTGTCCCTCTGTCCTCTCCCAATCAAGCTCTTACTGCTGGGATCTTCAACAGTGTGTTTATTTTGGTTTTATAAAATTTCTCTGTTTGCATTTAAAACATAATCCCAAGTCCTCTGCAGGAGTGCAGGCTGCACCCTCTGTTCCTCTCTTGCTGCTCCCTCTTGTTCCCACCCTCTGGGTGATGAGTTGTTCACACTGTCAACACGTTAAAGCTGTTCTGGAATCAGAACTGTCTGATGTAACAGAGGGTTTGCCCCAGCAAAATCAGAGAAACCAGAGAAAAAGCAATTTAATTACAAGAAAACATATCTGATTTCAGGCTGGCTCCACCAAACTGATTTAGACTAAAAATTCAGCATATTAATTTGCTTCTAAGCCCCTCTCACCCTCTTCTGTCCAAGGTAATTTACCATAATGGACTTGCTTTGCAGCATAAATCCATTTTGAAGGAAAAGCAAATTTTAGTTTTAAGAGTGACACAAAATCTAACTGGGGCCATTGCTAGAACTGCTGAAGAGAAGAAAACCACACTTTTTTTTTCTGGCTAATACCTCTAGCAGCCATCAGCTTGCTCAGCAAGGTACAGTCAGAAGGACAGTTTAGCTCAGGGCAGGGAGAGACTATAACTGATAACAACACAGAAACCTCTGCTTCCAGTTCAGAAATAAAACCCACTCCAATTTTCTACCCAATTTCCTGTCAAGTGTCTCCTTTCCTCCAGTCTGTCCCAGGCCACCAGAAGTGCTGTTTGCCACGATTAATGTAGACAAAAAGGTGTATGAAGTGGGTGAGGAAGTAGAATACACCTGCAGGCCTGGGTTCATGCCCAACAACGGCCAGAGGAAGTACATCTGCCCCCCAACTGGCAAGTGGCCCTTCAACACACTGCTGTGCCTCCGTAAGTAACCAGAGCACACTCTGCTCCTGCACTTATGGTCTGCAAAGGACATTTCACAGGATGTATTGAGACATAGAGACTTCTGTCTCCAGATCTTCCCTTACCTGTTGGAAGACAACAGGGCGTGGGGGAGTAGAGGGGCAGTCACAGGGGAAGGATCTTCCCATCCATGTCCCAGTCCCTCCTGAAATCCTCTGCTCCTGGATGGGGATGGAGATTGGATCCACACCTGGAGAACCTTCACCTGACCCAGCCCAGCAGTGCTTCTGCTCTAACAGCATCAACTGCTTGATACTCACTGCATTTACTGCATCCCTCACTGCTCATTCGTACCATTTCATTGCACAGAAGTTGGATTCCTCAGACAATCAGATGTTACAAATTACTTAACCACAAAAGCTTTGAAATTACTGTATTTTGATAGAAATGCAGAACAGCCAGACATGAAATATTGTACATGGGAGTGGAGAAATGTGTAAGGCACCAGGATCCCTTTATGATCAACATGTTTCCATCCCCCTACCTCATGAAATAAGATTATCCTTTTGTTATCTGTAATTAACAGCACAGAGATGCACAGCTCCTGGAACCTTGGCAAATGGAAAAATTGATGTGGTAGACACCCAGTACCAGAGTTCTATGAACTTTTCATGTGACCCAGGGTAAGCATTCCCTTCCTCATGCTGTTACAGAAATAACCTACATCAAAATATTGCATTCTAGTATCACCTGCTGCCACCTTGCAAGGCAGAAAACTCAGGAAACTGGACACAAAAACTCATCTACACTTCAGAAATGAAGGGAAAAAAATCATCTCTGGTGATCCACCTCCGTTCAGTCCTGGCTATAACATCCTGGAGCTTTGCTGCTCCGAAGCAAAGTCTTACAAATATGGAAACCATCAAAATAGCAGAGATTTTATGCAAAGATTTAGTCAGGACTGCTTTCCCCTGCTTTTCAAATCCTCTTATTACATCATGAGATGAAATCCTACAGCAGAGAGAAGATAATCTCCATCGAAGTTGTTATGCTGTGAGGCTCTGGAGACTGGAAATTGTGTTTCTGTGCCTTTCCAAGCTCAATAAATGAAAATATGAGGTTAATCCTAACTTGCTCCCTGGAGTAAATGTACTTTTACTCAAGGCTGCTCACTAGCTTTGGAAATGAGGATGCATTTAAAGAAAAGCAGTTATGGCAAATGCAGGGAAACATTTTATAGTAGCATGTATCTAATAATGTAAGGACAGAGCATGAGAGAGAAGCATTTAGTGTGCAAATGGAAATTAAAGTGAGTGTCTGGAATTAAAATAATGCACTTCAGTGACTTTAGTTCTTAAAACTGCTGAGTTCTTTGCAATATTTGATCCTAATCACCATGATGAGCTAGGAACTTCTCCCAAGAAACCATAACATTTACAGTAGCAACCACAGGTCAATGTTTGCTACTTACATACATCCATAGTATTAATCAGGTGTAGAAATTACTATCTAAAATAGAAATTAAAATGTAAAATATAACACAGAGCTGAAACAGCAAAACATCTTGTTGTATCAAGACTTCTGCCTTGATCTTTGCAACACTTGACTATTAACAATCACTCAAACTTGAATCTAAACTTCCTCTGAGGTCAGGAAGTGCTAGAACTAGAGAAGGATTTCAGAGCTGCTTTCTTCAGTCTGTCTATGAGAAATCATCATCTTACTTGCAAAGAACCACTTGTTCATCTCTCTGATAATCAGGTCTTTCTGTTTCCAGCTACAACCTCGTTGGGTCGAGAACAAGCAAGTGCATGGCAGATGGAAAGTGGACTGGAATTTTTCCACAGTGTCAACGTATGTGTTTCACTACTAAACAACAACCCTATCCTTATTCCTGTTCCAGAAACATTCCTTCCCATTGCTCAGAATTATACACACTCTTCTTCAGAGGCCTCCTAGAGTGCTGCCCAAAGAAATGACTAGGAAAATCCAAGCAGAATCCTGTATGTTTGGTTTTAGATGTGTGGATTTTAGAGAAATGCAGTTTAAAGGTCTGTACAAAAGGCCAGGATCAGGGATGCTATTTACAGCTGGAGGTAAGATGCTTATTCACTCAAATTCCTCCTCCCTGTGTATAAAATGAGGATACTGTCATGCCTTTGCACTTTTACGGAAATGACTAGGAAAATCCAAGCAGAATCCTGTATGTTTGGTTTTAGATGTGTGGATTTTAGAGAAATGCAGTTTAAAGGTCTGTACAAAAGGCCAGGATCAGGGATGCTATTTACAGCTGGAGGTAAGATGCTTATTCACTCAAATTCCTCCTCCCTGTGTATAAAATGAGGATACTGTCATGCCTTTGCACTTTTACGTGGGGCTATAAATGAGGATACTGTCATGCCTTTGCACCTTACATGGGGTTTTGCTATAACCTGTCCTGCATAAACCCTTTACTGAAAAAGCAATAATATTACCTGAAAAATATAGCAAAAAATCACAAATTCCATACTCTGAGGCTCCTGAGACTATTGATCTGAACAATTTGTTTTGTCATCCACGATTCCATGAAGCTCAGTGTGAGTTCAATTAGTTCTAAGCACATTGCTCCTCTGATTCCAGCAATAATTTGACATTTAAGCTTGACTGTCTATGCATGTTGTGCTTTCCTAGCTGTGACCTGTGCACCTCCCTCACTCCCCGAGTTTGGAGTCCTCTCTTACCGTCGCACCAAGCCTGGAAATGTTTCTCATTTCATGGACACAATCACATTTGAATGTGTCCCTCCTCTTGCCCTCATTGGGAATGAGACAGCCACCTGCACAGCCAACGGGACCTGGAGCAGCATTCCAGAGTGCAAGGGTAAGGAACTCACTGCTGCCAACACCAAGGGATATTCCCTGGAATTGTATATATAGAACTCCTTGAACAACCCTAAGAGTTACTGCCAACACAGAGCAGAATGATTCTGCAAGTGAAGCTCAGAGAGGCAAGGGAACTGCTAACCCAGGGCATGCAACATGGGACTGACAAAATATTTGTTGCAGGTAGAAAGGTTATATAAACAAACCCTGTTAAATGTAGCTCACAGTGGGGAAGCTGAGCTTGGCCTCCAGCCTGCAGCCAACCTTTTACTCTAAGTGCCTGGATTCATCCAAGAAATAGTCAACATTACCCTTAGTCCTGAGAACTTCCTTGCTTTCAGTGAAACTACACCATGTTTAAGTAGCTTTTGGATCTAACCACAGATTGCAGTTTACATTTAAAAGAAGTAATGTTTATTTATTTGTTGTGGGTGTTTAAGCTCTCTCTCCTCTGGCTCTGTTCTCCTGGGCAAGAGGCTGAAATGAACCACCATGGATGTTTCCTGTATTTTTCAAGTTTACAGTGTGTCTTTTACAGTTGTGGCATTGCTAAAGCTTTGGGTTTGGTTTTGTCCTGCAGTCGTCACCTGCCCCACTCCATTAGGAATAGAAAATGGATTCCTGGAGTTTGTGGCACGCAGAACATACCACTACAATGAAAGTGTGAGCTTTGGCTGTGAGCCCAGATATGTGATGGAGGGATCGAAGCATTCCCGGTGTGAAAAGACTGGAAACTGGTCCACAAAGCCAACCTGTAAAGGTATGCACTGAGCAGCTCTTAGAGAGCACAAATCAGGCTGAATTTTCCTATCAGCCCCTTGCTCTGACTGCGAGTGAGCTATCACTCCTCTGTGCAAGAGCTGACCCCAAAAGAAAACCGACCAAATAATTGCAAAGCTCTG